TTATTGTATTTTAAATTATTATATTTGTATGCTCTCTTTAGAATATTTTAAATACAAAATTTATTAAAAATTATAATTTTATTAAACAACCCACCGACAATTTATAAGTGTTTATTTCTTATAAAATAAACTAGAATGAATTATATTATATAAATATCCGTTTATATTGAATAATATGAATAATTCATTAATAAATAAACATATAATAATGGTATTAACATAAGTTAAGTTAGTAGTAATACATGAGAGATGAACCTAAAAAATATATACATAAATCATTCAAATAGCAAAGTGGGTACAGTTCGTAATGTATTATATTTATAATGCATACATTGCCAGCACTGCATACTCACTCTTTGTACTGAAATGCTTGTAACCTAATATACTTATTCTGATGTTATTTAGAATAAAACTTCCATCGAAATTAAAACTCACATTACTTATAAGTTCTATTTTGATGGGAACTATCAAAAGAGCTAAAAAAATGATTATTTGAAATTTACAAAAATTAATAAATAAAAATGTTTTCTATCTCGGGTTAAAATGAGGTATTATTTAAGATGCTAAAAGAAACAAGTCCAATCCCGTAAATAAAATATTTTATAGAAATAAAAAAATGTAATTACATTAATGTAATATAGATAAACTAGTATAAGGTGCATGTACAATTGACAATGTACATATGCATATTTAGCAGTAAAATTTATTTTTAGTTGAATTCCGAATTGTTTGAAGTTTTTTATTGTATGAGTGTAACTATCATATATTTAATTTTAAAATTTTTATATCCCTTTCGCATTATGAGTTCTTTGAAGTTGTTAATACGTTGTCATAGCTGCAATCTTTCTTGTCAGAATTAAACAATACATATAAAAATTAGCAATCCCTTAGCTATGATTGCATCGATAAACGTAAATATGTGTATATTCTTAAATAATTCAAGTGATTTAATGTTTTAATTAATTAAAACCCTCCGTTCTTTACTTTTCATTTTCTTACTCAAGCATTTTAAAAGTATTTTTTAACGGTATAATATTCTACATTTTATATTATAATAAATGAAAAATATTTAATAATGTCAATGCTAATAATGTTAAGGGACATATTTGTTGGTTGAATTATGTACAAGAATTAATATTTTATTTAAACCCAATAAACGCAGTCTTCATCCCTGAAAATTATTCTACTTCCGAGATAATAATTTATTTAATTTAATATGTGGTGTAGTATGTGTCCACATCTATTCGAAAGGTTTATAGAAAATTCTACATAGTTTTATAGTCTCTGTTTGTTCAAGTGTTGACCGACCTAAAAACATTTAATTGCAAAACATCCTACACAAAATATTCTTGTACTAATAATTCAACACAGGATTTTTAACAATTTTGTTTTATTATAATAAAGTATTTGCATTTGAAAAGAATTCGCATATTTTTTTTACTAACCAGCAAAGACAATATTTTTTTCAGATCAAGTGCCTTGACCCGAATCTCTTTTTTCTATCATTTTCAACTAGTAAAACTTGTAAGAAAAATGTTTTGTAAAAATAACAATAAATAATTCTTAAAAAAATAAAAGTAAACACCATATTTACAACGAAATGTGCGTGTTTCGCATTCAAAAATGTAAGAAAACACTGATGATTTTTTTTTTTTATTTTGTTCATAAAAACACGCATACAATAATATTCATATATTTAATGCATAAGTCTATTAAAAAAAACATAATTATTTCTAAAAAAAGGCAAAAAATTACTACTTTAAAATTTCGAAAAAGTTTTATTTTTTTCTTATAAAAGAATTAATCATTTTCACATTATTAATATACATTATATATACATATTATGTTGATTTTTGGTAAGGTGAAATGTTTTTAATAATTCAGTCCCCACTAAGACTAAAATAATAGCAAAAAAACAGCGAATTTTAAAAATAAGTGCTTTATTTCGAAACATTAAAATTTCGCATTTTCCTAATGGAATTCGACCATTATAAGCCTAATAGAATAGATTGTTTTCTTAAATTAAGTCAAGAAGTTTTCTAAATACAATAATGAAAAAAAGAAATTCAATGAAACTTTATAAATTTATATACTATAAACATAATTATTCAAATTTATACGAACAGTTTTTTGTATGAATGATTTCAACGATTTGTATAATTCGACGTAGACGTGCACTGGTGCGAGTAACTGAGATTGCCAACAATATATCTTTATTATTCATCAATTACTGATGCTATTTAAATAACGTATTATAATTTAAACGCAGAGGTTGAAATGACTATTGAGATTATTTGGCTAAATTGTAACCCACGACCTAATTACCTGCAATATTATCTTTTGCAGCAAAACACATATCTCTTTACTCAATATAAACGTTGTATAATCTATTGTTTTTCGAGGATTATTAACCGCTCTTGTCAAACATTATTATCTGTGTTTATGGATAGCCGTTAATTACAAAATTAACTTCTATATCTGTATTAGTTTTGACAAATTGCGACTATTTTGCGCACACCGTGTACTTAATTTGTTAGTGGGCTAGAAAACTATCGACAATCTAACTGATGAGTTCTATTTACAAACATTAAGTATATACAGTGTATATAGAAACAAACAGTTGACTGTGTCATTCATTAACTTCATTTAAGAGGCGATTGATTAATCAATCTCATACAGTATCTTCAAAATTAAAAAAAAATTATTAATGTTTATTTTAAAAATTTATAGTTTTTTTACAATAGAAGAGCTTAATTTTATTTATTTTTAACTAGTTATAGTATAGTTTTTGTGGAGAAAAAATGATATAATAATATGTACTTTTGGATATAGTATGTAAAGCATAGTGAATAAATCACACGGTACAGATAGGACCCAGTAGTTTTATGTACATATAAAATAAAAAATTTTGATCGAGAATAGTATAGAAAAAATAATGGCGAAACCACCTTAAAATATCAGTTGGTTAATAAAATTTAACGATCAGTATAATGAACAGTACGAGTAAAAAGTTTTATATCATTGATATTTTACAAGCTTTCTTTAATCATATAATTAAATACAGTAAATTTAATGTTTTAAATTACCGTTAAAATAGTATATTAAATCAAGGAAATTGGATAAATAGGAAAAGTCATTATAATATCTATACGAACAATTTTCGTTTATTGAAATTCAGAGTATTATAAATAAATTATTTGAATTATAGTAAAAAAGTTCTTTAGCAATTCATGATATTTAAGAACTTCAAAAGTGACGCATATAAAGCGTATAAAAGAGTTTAAATTCTCATAACATTCTATCAACTGTAAAAAACTTGAGAACTTGAAAAAAAATAGTTGAACTACTTCCTACTGTTCATACAGTTGTAACAAATGTCTTCTTTTTATAGGTCAAGAATACCCACTTTTTTGTTATCGATATAGTAAGTGTTAATTAAACACTAATAGTCATGCTTGTTTTGCTTCAGTTCATTCAATAATTAAATTCTATTTATAAAAATATAAAGAAACATTAACATTTACAACCATCATCGAATAATAAATATCACAATTAAAAAGAATTACAATTATTTTGTAATAACTTAGAAGTTATCTAGTATAAACATTACTAATTTTGCTTTCTTTAACTTTGTATAAATACCTTACAATTAATTTTATGCTGACAAAAGATTTAAATATCTTACCAACCGTATTTCGAGAAAATAAAAAAAATATCCAAGATAGTTAAAGTTTATAAGAAATCTTATTACTAATCAGTCACAAAACTATTAATAAAAAAATAACATTAAATAAACTCCAAACGTCACAAAAAATAAGGTATATATTATTTTTGTTAGTAATGTATACAATACATTATTAAACATTATAAACATCTTTTTAATATTTTAAATTGTATATATTGTTTTTTGAATATAAAATGTACTTGGAAATTTTTCACAGATATTTTTTAACTAATTTTATTTATAAACCATTGTCTGATATATTACAATAACTTTACAAAAATAAAAATCTAAAAAGTAATTAGCTAAACCACTAACACTTACATATTTGCCAATATTTCCTATTATATCTTAAGTTTTTTCTAAAAATTTTCTACGTCTCATCAAATTTATTGACAAAAAACACTCAATATTTTCAACTAATGAAGACATCAAGAATCCTCATCATTTGAAATGTCCGCATTTGAATCGTTTTACGCAATGCTTAGTTGTAACCATATCTTAGTTAAGTGCGCTGATGGCTTGTCAGAGTTATTTTTCAAACACTAAAAAATATATACATATAAGTAGTTGCTAAGTAAAAGTATAAGAACTCTTTACTACTAATATTGTAAGCCATATCTCTGGTCATTACAATATTAAATTGTCACTCAAAAAAATTTTTTGTATAATAAAAAGTTTTGAAGTTATCAAACTATAAACTCTTTCTTTTTTTTATATAACTTTTAGAATGGATAATTTTTAATTTAAATTATTACTTATGTTATTTTTTGTATCATTGACATTCTAAAATTATTTTTATTTTATTTAACTTAATGTTGCATAAGTTATATCCTAACAACTAAATTTAATATAATGCAAATACTGTACAATTTTAGACTTGCAAATAATGTAACATTGTATTATTGATATTATAACTAATGGCCTTTGCTGTCGAAGTCGTAAGATCAATAAAAAATCATATAAATAAATTTGTATCCACTATTTATGTAAATAATAAAAGTTTCTATTTTAAAGCAATAATAATTTTTCATATACCATAAAACTGTATTTTATATTGGCTAACGCATAAAGAGTGAATAAAGATTAAAGCTTTCTATAAGTCTTTCTGACTTCTTTTTTTGTTTTAAATATTACAATTAACGAGGATGTGATAGATAAGGTGGAAAGTTTTAAATATTTAGGATAATTTGCACAAAATAACGGCGGTATTGTAATATTAAACTAATCATAATTTTTAGTTTCATCTACTTAATTTTTAATCTACTTTATGTTTCAGAATTTCTTAAGAGATTTACTAAAAGAAGCAAAAAAAATAAATGATGTGTCCGAAGATAAACTCATCGAGTACACTGATACAATGGTATTATAATTTGAATAATTAAATCATATATATTATATAGTATATCTATATATCTTTGTTAACATTGATATATCTAACGTTAATATATTTAATATACNCAAGGATACTCGCCTATATATTACTATGGTTCGAAAGATTTACACCCTGTATAATATAATTATTAAAACGTGAATTTCTTTTCCAAGTCACAAAAGAGCTATAATTTCTATAATAATTAGTACGACCGCATCCAGAATATTTTTTCGGTAGGGGTACAAAATATGTTGGGTTGGGTTTATATATATAAATATATATTTTATTGTTATAACTTAGCTTTTGAATAATTTAGGGTAGAGCCACAATGCGATGGCGTGAGACAGTGTAGACCACTTAAAGGAATGCCTAACAGCAGTTTCATAATTAATGACAGTTAGAATAAAAAAAATATATATATATATATATTTTTTTTTTAAATTTTGGGTTTTAAACCTTGTAATATCCTTGGAATAAGACCATGATTTTAGCAAAATGATTGCATTGTTTCTAAATTACATATACGTGACTTTTTAGTATGTTTTATGGCTTTTGAATAATTGTTGTTTAATGAAATGAAATTATTTATATAAAATCGATTTAAACTGAATTACTTATCAAGAGATGACATTTTTACATCATAAAATATTTTGTTTGGAAAATTTAAATATTAATTAGTTTTTTGTAAAATTAATTTTAACCGAAAATTGTTTATTGTCCTATCCTCATCTAATATTTTATTTAATACAAGTAAATTTTATCTTAAATTATATAGACCTTTGGTCTCAAAAGCTAAAGATAAGTTTTACTGTAATGAAAAATGGAAAATTTAAGTTTGGTTTTTATATATCTATTTATTTTATAACTAAGAGTATTTATAAGTAAAGTATCATCTGCAAAAAAGCTTTGAAGAAGTGTCTATTTTTTTAGCTGCAAGTTTTCGATGCCAATAAAGATGGTAAATTGCAACTATCTGAAATGGCTAAGTGAGTATTTTTTAAATTATTTTTATAATAATTATGATAAACTAGACTTTAATGTTTTTGAAATTTCGAGTACGTTTATTCAAATCTTACCGAACTGTATTTAATCAAATTAACTGTTCATATTAGCTAATAAATATTACATTATAATTTTATTTAATATACAAATCATAAAAATTTTGTGCCCATAAATTTATTGAGATCTTTAAACTGTCGGATAAATTAAATTTTTTTTAGTATAGAAACTTTACCGGAAATGTTATTATTTACTTTTACGACTTCCACAAAGCCAAGTTAAAACAAGAACACTAATTATATTTTTGGAAAATCGAATCAAATTAACTTACATCTACAACACAGTAAATAACACAGAAAAATAACACAGTAAATATTTTGTATATTAATATTTACTTTATATTAAAAATCATTAAATACACTTCTATAAAGTAAATTAGCCTTGGCTACAAAATTTATGTTAGCATTGCAACTCGCTATTAATGATTTAATCAGTGGCATATCCAAAGTAATGGTTAAAAAGTTCAACCCCCTCCTGAAAGAAAAATGCTGGATACGCCACTGGAGATTGTGTTGTTTTAACGTCTAAATTAGTGCTGAGCACCACATCCGGATCAATCCGTATCCGGATTACCGATCCGGATCGATCCGGATTGAAACAAAAGTGACAATCCGTTCAATCCGGATTAAAGTATCCAATCCGGTTTAATGTAAACAAATCTTCATGGGTTATTCTAATATAGCGAGAATTGTTATTGTTCAGAAGTGCTATTAATAAATGGGAGCTATTGGAGCAGTTAGTTAAAGTGCTCAGCCTTTCGATCTTGTTACTAAAGTCTTATCATCTGCAACAACTCCAACAATATCAACTGTACATCCAATTTTAAAAAGTATTGTCCAACACTATTTGACTCCCAACGAATCTGACCAACATAAAATTAAAATATTTAAAGAAACATTGTCCCAAGAGTTCGAAGTAAGATTTTTTAGTCAAATGCACAATGATTCTAAATTTCTTCTAAATATTGCTTCATTTTTAGACCCACGTTATAAAAATTTTTTTGATGACGATAGTGATACTTTAATTACCTTAAAAGATTTTATTATGCATCATTTAAATTATGAAGATTCTTCAATTGATGATACTACCAATCAGCCAAACCCTGTAGTATCTGCTTTAGATATTTTATTTCCCCAAAATCATAATGGTGAAGATATAATTGAACAAAATGAGCTCGACAAATACTTAAAAGAAAACTGTATTAACAAGAATGCCTGTCCATTAACATGGTGGGCTGAAAATGACAAGAAATATCCAGTGATATCAAAACTTGCTAAAAAATATTTATGTATCCCGTCAACATCTACGCTCTCAGAGAGAGTTTTTTCTACAGCGGGGAATATTATAACTTCTAAAAGAAATTGTCTGGCTGGTGAAACAGCCAAATGGTTAATATTTCTTTCACATAATGCTAAATTACAATAATTATAAATTAGCATTATGTGAAAGAAATATTAACAATTTTGGTTAAAAATTTTCAAAACTAAAAAAACAATATACTACTTATTTCCGAAATCCGAGTCAACGGATTGAATCCGAAATCCGGATTAAATAATTGTAATCCGTAATCCGGATTGGTCAATATAATGCTCAGCACTAGTCTAAATGGTAATACTAATATTTTATTTTCCGTTGTTAGATTGCTACCAGTCAAAGAAAACTTTTTATGCCGTCAAGTGTTCAAAGTAAGTATTATTCGCATGCATATTAAACAAAATGTAGTCTTTGCGTGTTAGACAATAAATATTCTAAAAATAAATTAAAGAAAAACGGCAATTACACGAACAACTCCGCTTAAGACAATCACACAAATACGATTGTGTTGAAATGACTTGACATTCACTCGAAGTACTGTCGATATGATGTTTCCCTTTACATTTCTTCAAAGCCACTTAATATTGGCACTCGTCATGTATGTTGTACATAAAAGAAACCAACAGGGTCCATTTAGGGAACTTTATTATTCTTATTTCAACAAAAACACAATTAAGTCGAAGGTCGGTAAAAATGTTTGCAACACTATTCACAATTTTATTACTTTCCGGTCTGAGTCCTCACTTATAGCAGTACACAATAAATAACGGGTTAAGCTAAATAATGCGTAATGAAAAGTGTTACTGTAATAAAGAATACCTAAACAGGAACACCTTAAATATTATAACAGGAAGGTATCTTCTTTGCATTTCGTGTTATGATGTTCTTTTAAAACATTATTTTTAACTATTATTAAAAAGCCACAAACGCTTAACATGATTGATGAAAGAAAATATTTCGGTTTCAGTTGTACTTTTGTTTTTTATTATAACTAAATTTTTATTCTTGCTGTGTATTTTTCAGGGAGCGACAAAACTTACAAAAGACGATATTGAACGAGTTTTTTCGTTGTACGATAGAGTAAGTGCATTGAAATTTATGTTTTATCTTAAAAATCCCAATAAGTATTAATAGTTATTGTATATTAATATACTTCATTCCAACAAATGTAAACTGGAAAAATTCAATGTTCGTTTTAAAAATAATTTTTTGTTATATCGAATAAAATAATAAAAATGATTTAAAGGTTTCTACAACCATAACTTTAGCGGAAAATCGTTACAATAACACACAAGAGTCATAAACAACAGAATATATATATAATATTTTATGATATAAAATCATTTATGATCGTTGAACTGTGCAATAAGTTTGGATGATTACCAAATATTGAATAATTTATTATACAAGAATGCAAAGGTGGGCATAAGCTTGTTAAAAAATTGATTTTTTTTTAATTTTAAAATTTAAGTAGTTTAATTTTTGTTGAAATAACTTACTATTTTCATTTAATTAGATAAAGGCATCAAACTTAAATTAACAATATCATAGAAATCTTTGTTTAAAATGTAAATAACTTAATAAATATTATAATCTGATTTATGTTTCTCGGTTAATAACTATTGTACTTAGATATATTAGCATAATATATGCATAACATTGATATATCGTCGCTAGTATAGTAATAGCGCTTATCTCGAAAATTGATAAAATGAGATTATTATCGATAATGATTTGTTACTAGATATTTTAGCTTCGATTCGAAGCTGAGAAGATATTGGTTTTACTAAGATGTTTATTTACTTTTTAGCTTCGATGCGAAGCTGAGAAGGTATTGGTTTTACTAAGATGTGTTTTTTTTTTTTTTTGTGTCTGTTACCACTTTTTCTCAGCTCTCACCGAACCGATTTCTTTCAATGATACGTCAAAAGATCACAAATCGTATCTAGTCGAAGACATTATCCTTAAAAATTGAAAAAAATTCCCTCGTTCCCCGTAAACGGGGAAAATCCCCCAAAAAATTACAAATTTAAAAATCGCTAATTTTCGAATTTTTTTCAATTTTTTTTACTTAAAAGTGCCATAACTTTTTCAAAAATGAACATATCAATATAATTCTTTTTTATATAGATGCATAATATCATTAACTTTCATTTGGTATATTTTTTTCATAAATTTAACCCTTAACCTGCCCACAAGGGGGGATTTATTATTTATATGTTATATATTTATGATATGTTAGAACAAATTTATGTCAAATAAACAAATTAATATTCTAATCAACAAAGTAAATTTGAATATATATTAATATGTAATTTGATACCTCTATGAATGTGCTAAATAGAGTCTCTAAAAAATGTTATTTGTTATTTCTATAAAAGTACTATTTGGTATCCCTATTAGAAATTCAATATAGTATCTCATTAAATAAGCCAACAGGTGTCTCTATCAAATTGCAAATGGGTATCTTTATAAATGAGCAAGTTGGGATAAAAGTACTTAATGGTATCGTTTTCAAAAGTGCAAATTGAAATTTTTATTAATTTACAAATTAGCATCTTTATAATTGAGCAAAATGGGAAGTTTGGCAATACAAATTTCAACTCTATCAATAATGCAAAATGATACCTCTATAAGAATGCGAAATAGGATCTTCTTTAAAATTATTTATTATATAAATCAATAGTTAATTCCAAACATTATTTATTCAGTGTGATGTTAATTATGCATTTAACAATTTATTGACCTAGATTCCAAAAGATTTCTAAAATTATAATTTAACTGATAAATTTTTTAACTATGGAATTATACGTATGTACGTATGTTTCCATGAAAAAGTTGCTTAAACGATTATTAATAATTAAATTATTAATATTTAATATATAAATAATTAATTTATTAATATTAACATAACATTGTATTTTTAGGATAATAATGGTACAATCGAAAATGAAGAACTTCGTGGATTTTTAAAGGATCTTCTTGAATTGGTTAAAAAGGTATGAAATCATTTTAAAATAACATTATTTTTACTTTTAGAAAAAATTATTGTAAAGCATTAGTTTGAAATTCCATCATTCATCTTACCTATTAAATAAAAGAATTAAGAATATATTTGTCAAGTGAAGTAAAAAATAATTGTATTATGCTTATTTAAAAAAATTATAACCTATTTTAAAATCAAGGAAAACTTCTTAGGCTATAACTATGACTAGTTTTATCATTATTATTTAATAACTACACATAAATAAAAGAAGATTATTACCATATTATAAAAAAAATAATTCTTAATCATTTAGTAAATATATGACTAATTGAGATGAATAATATAGATAATTTTGATTAAACATTAAAAATGTAAAAAATATTTGAAAACTAATAGGCTGATACAACTGGAAATAATGATAATTTAAACTATAATGTTAAATAAGGCAAAATAACTATTACTGATATTCAAAACTTTAATTGAAAACAATTTACACAGTTTTAGTCGGTGAAGTGAATCTAAAGATTACACAAAGTTTACTATATAAGTGCTTTACTGGGTATCCACCCTTTTTGATCACTTTAGTAATAACTATATTAAGAATGTATCATGACTTAAGATTAGCAATACATTTTGAGAAGATATATTATATCCTATATTATTTTGTTTATTCAGGATTATGATGCGGACGACTTGCAAGACTTCGAAGAAACAATATTAAGAGGAGTCGATTACAATGAAGATGGCAAAATAAATCGAAAAGAGTTAACTATGATACTATTGGCACTCGCTAAACACAACCAGGAAGAAGATTCTGCAGCTAAAAAAGCATAATTTTGTTCGTAATATAAACTTAAAGCATAAAACTACATGCACAAAAATATATGTCTTTCCATTTATGGCCTGAGGCTTGTACGCATTTGTTGTTATTTTGATATTAATTATTATCATTATTACTATTACTATCTTAAATTAAGAATTATTCATTGTTGTATTATAATAGTATAATATATATTAGGTACTATTAATGAAGAACATCGGGTGTACGCGTTACATTTAGTGCGTTTAGTGTAATTTTAAGCATTTTAACGATTTAATTTGTTCCTCTCGTACTTTTTCGTTATAAAAAGTATATTAATATTATTTTTATTAGGGCATACCTATGATCTCTCATTCTTTTTTCGTTCTCTTTGCACTACTTGGCACTTTTATCTATAAATCTAGGAAACATTCAGTATTTGGATTGAAGAAAATTCATTTTCATTTCTTATATTACGTATCTAGCAGTCTTCTATTTACCTTAAATATGACATAAGATTTAAAAATATTATATTATGACTATCCATAGTTTTTTATTTATTTATTGGTATAGTTTAACAATATTTTTAGCAAGTAGTGTATAGTTTAACGAAAAGCACTTGAATTTTTAGACATAATAACATTTGTTGTTATTATAAAAAATGTACGTTGTATGTACGAAATATAATCCTACGTAAATTAACTTTTAACTTAAATTGTGTATGTTATTGTTGTTGACTACCTATTTAATCTAATAATAAGCTATTATTAGCTTTTATTAATATCACTACGTTATTAAAATTAATTCTTTGAACATTATTATTCAGAAAAAATGGATGATTTATATAGTAACAGCTTTAATAAAAACAAAATGCGAAATGAAAAATAAAAAATTCAAATGATAAATTTCTTTAAGTACTAAAAGTATTCGAATTTTATTAAGTATATTTAATAAATTCAATACCAAACCTTTTCTATGTAATTAATTTATTATGTTTTAGCAAACATCGAAATTTTAATGTCAAAACCCTGAAACCCTCTGGTTGCCTATTAAAGCACATCATAATCAGTTATTAGTTATGCAATAAAACCATTATTTATGCGTAAAAATTTTAGTCGGCATTTGAGGTGAATTCATAGGGGAGTTTAGAGGGATGTCATATCTTCTAAATGTTTATAAAAGTTATTAGTATTAAAACAAATTGAGAAACTTTTTACTCATTAAGGCCCTAGTCCAGTGGAGTACATTCAACATTTTATCTGGGGAGGGATATAAAAAATAATTCAAGTTTAACACTTTCTTATTTTTTTCTTAAGTTTTAATTACTACTTTTTCCATAATTTCAAACTACGTATTTAATTATTGATTACTATATTAATTAAAAATGTGTAAATTTTTATCATAATCATAATCTTTAACATTGGCAGATAGTTGTTATTAAATGTGAAAATAATAAAAATAAATGTAATAATAATTCCTGAACATTAACAAAAATTAGCCATAATAATTAGATGACAATAATAATATATTATTGAATATAATGTTTGTATAGGGCAATTATAATATCATAATCGTTGATAAATAATTGTTATACTTCATTTCTGGGTATACATTAAATGTCATAAATAGGTAATATTTATATATCTAGTGTCATCACTTTACTTAAGAATAGTCAAGTCTATGAAATTAATGTGAATTTATATACAAGACAAACTTTACTACTACCTCACCGTGCGATTCAAATCCCGGGACACTTTCATATGGTTGATAACGTGATGTGCGGCTGAAGGAAACACGGTACCGTGTCAAACCCTTATGAACAATTCATATTTAACAAAACACTTAGTAATTAATATTTTTTATAAATTAGTGTTATTCTATAAAAACACCTAATTATATTAAATATATGACTATTTAAATACTAAAATTTAAGATCGTAATAATCAATCATGGAATACTAAAAAAAACCATTAAAAAAAATTTGTTTCAAGAAGGTTGTTGGACCACGAACCCTCCTCGTTTGTACGCCACTGATTAGTCTGCAAATTTATGGACAACAGTTCAAAATTCACTTCACGTTCACCCATTAAAAATTATTTCTAGGAAAGCTCCTGGATAGTAAATTTCAGTTATTATTTGTATCTTTTACAAATTTGATTATAACACAATATGACAAATTTTAGTGTTGTCCATAGAAACGTGTTTTATATAATGAAAAAAATATATACTACTTGTTATGAGCATAAAATGAAATTACACTTTTAACTAATTAGATCAAACTGACAAAATATGTCAGTTCATATTCATTGAAATATTATTTATTAGCCAATATTATGAATAGTATTTTATTGAAAACCTGTGCGGTTAATTTTGATTGGCTCATTCAAAATTGTTAAAAATATATGAAAAAACAAATCTGTTTGATACATAAGTAAATAGTTAAAAATGTTTAACATGTCCCATAAAATCAAAGTAAATTTTGATTTTTTTGTGAAATAAACACGTGTAACAATGTAACAACCCCTTTTACACAAATAATAGTTATACAGGGTTATTTTTTAGCTTCGATGCGAAGCTGAGAAGGTATTAATTTTACTATGATGTGTTTTTTTTTTTATTTTTTTTTTTTTTT